GGGGGAGGGGTGGGGGGGGTGGGGGGTGCCCCGGAAAGACCTGTGGTCCCAGCATGCTCCCTAGCACCCATCTCCCTTCTGTGCTTGTAAATTGCCCCATGGGGTCTCTTAGTGGCCTCCTCCCTCCCTTCCAAATACCCTGGCCTAGGACTCTGCTAGAAAGGTAAAGTCTGATTCAGCACCTTCCCTGTGTTCTCCCTAGGCCTGACCACCCCACAGCTGCAATTTTAGACCTGGAAATCAGAGGGGAAGGTAGGTGAAGGGAAGCTCCTGTTGCATGAGAATGGGGATCTAAGAGTTCCTCCTTCCTAGATGATGGCGTACAGCAGGAATACTGCCAAGTTACCTACCCAGGCGAAGGCCACGCAGGTGGGATACATGGGGGAGGAGGCTGGCACGGAGGTATGGTAGCGGCAGAGCATCACCAGGCTGGCCAAGCCGTTGAGGAAAGAGGCCATGGCAGAAGCTGGCTCTTGGAAGAACAGGAACCGGGAGAAGGGCCACTGAAAAGGGAGCACATGGAGGGGGCCTGAGCAGCAAGCAACCCCCAGCTAGCCCAACATGCTTTTCCTTGACATGCCACATCAACAGGTCCTCAGTTGGCTCCTTAGCTCTGGCCCTCGGCCAAAGCCTCACGTATAGTCCCTCTTTGGGTCAATGAGCTCTCCTCCAGTCCTTAGCTGAAGGTCGTCCCTCTATCTTGGCCAGCACTCACAGCACTATAAGCCTGGTCTCTGGGAAGAACAGATGGGCCAGTGTAGACGGCTCAGTATGGTCTGGTAGAAACAGCCTAGACTTGCCATCAGGAAGACAGAGATCCTAATATACCCTTTCTCTACCACTGACCACAGGCCTCTGAGCCTCCGCTTCCTCTGACAAATTGGGGAAAATAATTCTTGCCAACCTCAATAGTCCAGAACAAAATCATAGTGGATGAAAAAGCACTAGCAAACCATGACTCACTGGGCAACCTGAGGGGGTATTCCTATTTTAATCTGAACTTCTACTGAAAAAGCAAAAGAAAGCATGCTGTGGAGGGTCAGAAAATTTGTCCTCGTAGCAAGGACATTCAACCACCCTAAGAACTCCAGCATGGCTGAGACCACAAAGCTTCCCAGACCTTGTTATTCCAAATCTAGAGCCAGGATACATTGGTTCCATCTGATGATATGAAAACCAGCAGATTTTGAGAACAGGTACCCGCCCCAAACACACGCCCATCACCCCACAGCTCAGACTGCTCGGATGGTGTGGTCTAACTGGGGGGTGTCTTACTCCTGCCACACTGCCACCATACACTTCTCCTGACCCTCCAACTCACCTTGCCATGGAACTGAGGCACTTTGTGACCTTCCTTGAGGTAGAGGCCAACAGTGACCCACATACACTCATACTTACAGTCGTCCTGACAGGTCCAGCCTGAAACAGAGAAATGTGACCTGGTGAACTCCTTATCACGGGAGGCACAGAGAGTGCAGATGGGACTCAGGCTCAAATGCAGGCTAAGAGGGCCTGCAGGGTGGAGAGGACCCGAAGAAATCTCAAAATGCTGGCTTCCCGCTAGGATGTACGAGAGATGGTAGAAAAGGATGTGTTTGTGTGCATGTGTTTTAGGGGACGGGGATGTGCAATGAGCAAACAGAGATGTTTTTCTCTTCTCCTTTCACCAAGATGGGAACTTCGGCATCTGGTGGACTCATTAGTGGACAGGTGGGTTTATGTTTTCTCTTCCTGAATTCAGGCTTTGCTCTCACTTGCCAGGGAAGAACTCTTGCCATCTTACCCCCGTCCTATGAAAATGAAGCCCAAATTCTTCACTCTGACTTTTGAGTCCCCAAATTCCTTTTCCAGCTTTATTTTCTATACTCCTTTTCAGGCACCCCGCACCCTGCTCCCTGAGTAAACCAAGCTACTGGATATGCCCACATCTGCCCAGGGCCTCCACTCTCTCCGTTCGCTCTGGAACGCAAAGGGATAGTAAAGAGAACAAACTTGTAGTCGGACAGGCCGCAACTGGAAATTCCACTTTACCACTTACTGGCTGTGTGACTTTGGGCAGGGCACTTAACCTCTCCGAATTTCCCCATTGTAAAACTGGGTTAAGAGAAACTACCTTATAGGGCTGTGAAAATTAACTGACCTATTGTGACACCTGTCACACGACAGGTGACCACTATGGCCACAGGTCCAAATTTAATGTATCCATCTTGAAGCCCTTCTATCACAGAACGTTCCAAGATGATCACGGTCCCTACCCTCTCAAAGCAAGAAACGATTCCTTCCTGCCATATCCTCCTACTGCTTGCCCTAGGGTCCTCTAGTGCTCAAATCATCCTTTACCTTGCACTGGAGAAGGCTAATGTCCCTGTGCAGACTGGGACCCCGAACGGCAGGATGCTGGTCTGATTTCAGTGTCATTCTAGGGCCTGTACCCAGGAGTATTAAATAACTTCCCATTTGACTGAATAAAGTGAAACATGAAAGCTTCTGGGAAAGTAAGACCGTCTGATGATGCTCTAACCACCCTGGGGCTCCATTCACACACACAACAACGGACCCCGGGGGAAGAAGGTAAGGCTCAAAGGTTGTTTGGGGGCGCAAGGGGCGGAGCCAAGGCGAGGGGCGGGGCTTGATGCGGGGAGGGGCTTACCTGCTAGACTCATGTAGATTGGCTGGCGGGAGCGGAAGTGCCTCAGTGCGCCCCCTGAGCAGTTCCGCTCCTCGCACCGGTGCACGCAGTCGCGGTACACCGGCTCGCGGTCGCCCTGGGAGCCGCTTGCTAGTGCGGCTGCCCCAGCCAGCAGCACCAGCCGCGCGGTCCGCCCGGCCATCCCTTCAATCTGGCCCTCCGCCGGCGGAGCAGCTTAAGAGCCTTCACTTCCGGAGTAACAGGAAGTGCCTTGTGTTCTTTATTCTGTTCTCCGGTGACGTCCACGCACTTTAAATAAAAGTTCCCGGATTGCTGTGGGTGCCTGCCCCGCCCCTCGTCTTACTGTCATCTGCATATATCGAGGCGGCAGGGTTAAGAGAAGGGGGAGGCCAGGTGGCTTAAGTAGCAAAATAAATTGTTGGTTTTTTTTTTCTTTTTTCTATCAATATACGTCTTGTTTCTTCTCCATGGTCTCTGTATTTGAAGTACGGTTATTATTCTTACACCAGCCCCCCCCCCCCCCACGTCGGGTTTCGCTTCCTAGTGCACCTGGAACTGCCCATGTCTTTCCCCATCTCCCCTGGCACCACCCTGGTTAAAGACATCACCATCATCTGTCGCCGAGACTGCCGCAGTAGTCCCTTTCCGAGTCTCCCGGAAGGGAGGCTTTTGTCTCCTCCTACCTTTGTCCTCTCCAGTCCGCGTTCCGTTTCCAAATTCAAATTTGACCCTGTCACTTTTGTTCTTAAAATTCTTTACTGGCTCCCAAGTACCTCAGGATAAAATCATGACTCCACAAACCCTGTACGATCTGGCCCCTGCGCCAGAGCCAAGGGGCCATGTTTCTCAACCCTCCCGGCCTTGCCTTATCTGTATCATTTGTAGTCTCAGGCGTGCTTATTCTTCTAGGCTCAGTTAAAAAAAAAATTTTTTTTAACGTTTTATTTATTTTTGAGACAGGGAGAGACAGAGCATGAACAGGCGAGGGTCAGAGAGAGGGAGACACAGAATCTGAAACAGGCTCCAGGCTCTAAGCTGTCAGCACAGAGCCCAACGCGGGGCTCGAACTCACAGGCCACGAGATCATGATCTGATCCGAAGTCGGACGCTTAACCGACTGAGCCACCCAGGCACCCCTTCTAGGCTCAGTTTAAACACCACTTCCGAGGGAGGTAACACCTGGAGGATGATATAAAATACAGTGGTATGTTTTCCCTAGGCAGGGTGGGGACCTCTGCTGTCTTATTTACCACTCTACTTCCAGCACTAGTACACAATTTGTATCATGTTAGGCTCTAAGAACGCATCTCTTCTTTCTTCCCTCCCTCCCTCCCTCCCTTCCTTCCTTCCTTCCTTCCTTCCTTCCTTCCTTCCTTCCTTCCTTCCTTCCTTCCTTCCTTCCTTCCTTCCTTTTTAAATGAATGAACAATATAATTCAACGTTAAAAAATTGGGTGCTAAATCCATCAGCGTGATTTAGATGAGGCTGAGATCCAAGAGGTGTAACATTTCAAGGAAAATCAAGAGAAGGACTTTTGGGAATAGGATACTTGCTTTAACATCCACTCCTCCTGCCTACACCACCACAGCACACACAAATATGCCCATCTTGTTGAAGCATGGAAGCCTTGTAGCCTAGATGCATAATTAGTGTGTGTAGATTAATGACAGCCTTTCCTCCTCTCCCACTCTCCACCCCGGGTCAACTTTTCCTTTTTATATTGATTGAGAAGTGAAATGAACATGAAGTAAAATTGTATTCCATTCACTTATTCATTTAGTAAACATTTCCTGAGTTCTTAGCTCTAGCACCAGGCTAGGCAAGGCACAACTCCAGGAGGCACCATTCACATTGTATTTACTGTGAATGGCGCTCAGGGGTGCACCATTCACATTGTATTTTCTGTGATTAGTGCCTCTTCAAGTTAAGTACAACATGAATAGTGCCCCCTGGAGTTGAGCACCCAGTTGATACGGATTGGGAAGCTGAAAAGAACAAAACAACTACTCAGCCCTCCAGGAGCTGACAGGGAAACAATCTAGTACTAATACTACTTTGCGTCTGATAGACCAGTCCTTTCCTACTACATTATTTCATTTTGTCCTTAATATGATTCTGGGATGAATCTTTTAATGAGCACGTCCATTTAAAGATGAGGAAATTTTAAGTTGCGTGGCTGGCTCAGTTGGTGGTGCATGCGACTCTTTTTTTTTTTTTAAGATTTTATTTTATTTTTTTAAGTCTT